TTCAAGAAAATCTTAGCGTTGACGTTGAATCCTAACGTTGGCTAATGAGACGGTATTCATCCATATTCCCACTCAAGCGAAAGATGACACAAGGTCGAGTTTAAAGTGGGAGATCTACGCATCAATAGGACTAGAGGATAAAAAATTTTTTCTGCTTCAACATTACTCGGTTTGAGATGCCTCTGGCACCAAAGATTAATTCTGAGCCTCCTGACTTTCGTAGAATTGCGGAGGTGCTGCCTGAGGGAAAAGGACTCTGAAAACTGGATTTCGTTAATTTTCGCCTGAAAGCTAAATTGTCTAACGAGCTTTGTTTTTCCTGTGAGAATACGCCCGAATTTTAATGTTAATTTGCTTGTTCGCTGCAGGGTCATTTGATTTCTGAAACGATTATTTACACAGGAGGAATTAATTGCGACAGGCTTAATTAAGTTTGACAATGTCTGGCTGTTGAACATTTTATTACACTTTACTAGTTCTCTTACAAGTAAGTACATAGCCATATTAATTGTCTAAATTCCATAATGTTTTTGCTCGAGTATTTCTACTATCCATAGTCATAATAAAAAGTAACAATTAGAATATAGAATAATTTTGATTAAAGGTCTTTGTCTGATCTGGTAAAACTATTTTTGAGCATAGGAAAAACTGATATTTTATTAGTTACTTATGTACGAACACACATCCACACAGACCCCCCCCAAAAAAAACATATATCGATATATTTCTCTTCCTATATATATATAAATATGAAAGAAATGTTACAAATATAAAATTTGTCACCTGATTGGAGTTACTTTCAGCTTCACGTCTCTAATGTTTCGCAGACAGAGTTTCCCGCAATCATTCTGTTCACTCCCCAGGGGATATCAGCAATTGATTATATATATATATATATATATATATATATATATATATATATATATATATATATATATATATATATTGCAAGAATAGATACAAATTATTTTCTAAAGGCATTATGAAAATAAAAAATAGGTAGGGTGTTTGTGTGAGTCAATATATATTGCAATAATTGTTAAATTGTTCGCAGTCGACCCTGATGAGTTTGGGAACGAAACCGGTTGGTCTGTTCTGTAAGTGTTATCATCTCTTATTTTTTATTTTCATAATGCCTTTAGGAAATAATTTGTATCTAATCCTTGCAATATTACGGTTCTGTACCTCCAACAATTTATTTAAATATATATATATATATATATATATATATATATATATATATATATATATATATATATTGCACAAATTTTTATACACAAATATTTAAGAAATGCTTTGTTTATAACAAACAGTATTAACAACATTTACCGGGCTGAATATCCGAAAAATTTCATAGAAAATATACGTCCTCTGACAAAAAGAAAAAAACATCTGTAAAATCGACCTTGCTAACCAGGCGCTCTTTCGTAGCTAAACTGTTAAAGCCCGTCAGGCTATATGACGGTTCCGTGTAGGATACAGGTTCGATCCCTGTTGGCGGACGTATATATTCTATGAAATTTATCGGATATTCAGGCCAGTAAATGTTGTTAATACTGTTTATTATAAACAGAGCATCTACTTAAATATTTGTGTCTGTATGCATAATATATTGAAATAATAGTCCATTTCGTAATTAATATATTATAATAATATTATAGTAGTGTATTACAATAATATCATTAATAGAATAATAGTATATATATATATTATAATTTTTTCATATAGACAAAAACATTTACCATTTACCCACTACAAAGATGCAACTTTGTTTCGGTGCATTTTAATTGCACCTCGATTAATGAGAACCAAAATTGATTATGAACAATTCTACTTGCACAATCACAAGCAGAATTGTTCATAAGCAATTTTGGTTTTCACCAGTCGAGGTGGAATTGTAATGCACCGAAACGAAGTTGCATCTTTGTAGTGAGTAAATTTTTTTGTCTATATGAAAATAAAAAATAATAATTATTGCTCTACAATCAGTATTGACCCCTCTTTTGGACTAATGCTGTGAGCGTCAGAATTTATATATTATTTTCGTTCTCACTGCATCGGATATATATATATATATATATATATATATATATATATATATATATATATAAAATACAAAAAAATCGTCACTTAACTGATTAATGCTATATTCAGGACCTCGAATCTGGTGTTTCGTTGACGAATCCTTTTGTAATTGTTCTCTTTACTTGTCAGGAGATATCATCAATTGACTGCAAAGTTTCTCATTTTCGATATTTTTAAACTGAATTAAAAAATAATTTATGCTCTAGTTATTGGTTTTAGGTTGATTTTTTTTTGTCTGTGTGTCTGTCTCTGTGTATGTCTGTGCGCGTTTGAACACGTGTGCATATATGTGTGTATGTGTGTATGTGTGAGTGTTTGTGATTAAATGTGCATGCGTGTGTGCATGTGTGTGTGCATGTTTGTGTCTATATTTCTCCTATTCATCATTTTCTTGTCTTCTCTCTCTCTCTCTCTCTCTTAATCTTGTCTCTTCAATAAATGACTGAGGTTTTATATAAGGTGCATTCTGACTCTTAATTTAATCGTTCATGCCATTTATGCTTCTCGAATAAACGGGGTGGAGACATTTATTAAAAATTAGTTTTCTCGAACTTTACGTGAACCCCATTCCGTGATTTGTGATGCAATAGCTATAATAATACGTTGAGTCATAAATGATCTCTGTTTTTCTTTATCAAATATCTCAGAAGAAAAACAAATTGCAATTATATTTTATTGGATTCTATATTCACAATTATTTGCAATGACTTATTGACACCTATCTGGCAGCTCTTTGATAATGTTTCTCATGTGAAAAAGTTTTCGACAAACTCTTGAATGTGGTTTTCATTAGAGAAAAATTTCCGCGTCCCTTGCAGTTAATAATCGATTGGGGCAAAGGTCATGTGAATATGGCGACTGGAGTAGAACAGTACAACAGAGTTCCAAAATGTTTACTCTGTTATTCCTTCTATATGAACAGACCAAAGAAGGTAATAATTGGTGAGGGCAAAGGTCAGGTGAATATGGCGACTGGAGTAGAACAGACCAACCGAGTTCCACACATTATCTTTATTTATTCTTCGTCTATGCTAAAAATCTTCACAGATATTTTATGATAATTTTATACTTTTATTCTTTTCATATTTATTGATTCGTTTCTACTATTGTCATTAAAGTAATACTAAGTGCAAATGATACGTGTGATAATGAAATGTTCACTATGACTCTCATCTTAACGTATATATGGTCGTTCCTAGTTATGGTAGAGGGCTTGCGTGTCCCAGTGATCCTAAGAGCGAAGCCGTGTGAAATTTCAATTCCCCTAGGACCACCAATGGCGGTCAGGTTGAGGAAGATGGACCAGACTGAATGCGACCAACCCCCAAAATACCCCAACGGTGGAATAGGCAAAGTAAACGATCTCACTGGCGGAAGAGGTCAGTGCCAATCGGGCTGGTGTAACCAAGGCGGAAAGATCAAGCATTCGACTGCCCGATGCAACCAGGTTTAACAAATCTCGCTTTTCTTAATCCCCTTGCTTTTTACCCTGCGATGCTCATGACATTTATCATATATTTTATGATAATTTTATATTTTTATTCTTTGCTTATTTATTCATTCGTTTCTTTTATTAAAGTAATAAAGTAATAAATAAGTAAAATAATAATAAAGTAATAATAAGTCATATTGATAAATTTCATAACGAACTGTTCACTCTGACATCCATTGTAAAATATATATGTTCGTTCCTCCGTATGGTAGAGGGTTTGCATATTCCAGTGATTTCAAGAGCGAAGTCGACAGGAGTTCCAACTCTTGTAGGGCCATCCATGACGGTAAAGTCGAGGAGGAGGGATCAGACTGAACGCAACCAAACCCCGAAGACCCCAACGGCGGAAGAGGCAAAGATCTATACGATACCAACACTTAAACTGGCGGAAGAGGTCAGCGCTAATCTAGCTGATGTAACCAAAGCGTTACTTGACAGATCACGCATCTGCCAGCACGATGCAGCCAGGGTGTGCCAGATCTCGCCTCTCTCAATCCCCTTTGAGCCGCGAGGAAGGCGCTTCTGGCCAAGCGTGTGGGCTTCTCTGTCACACAGAGTTGTCCACCAAAATCACACGAATGGTCTCGTCCAACTCTCTTTGACATCGGTTTCAACCCCACTTCAGCCAGCCCAAGCGTTTTTAGGATGACCTGACTCTCCCAGCCGCGTACTCCACCCAAACCCTTCTGTGTGTCCTGCTCACAAATCTTCAGGTGAAGATTGGGCCTTTACAGCCATCTCCGCTGGAGAAAGGAATTAAGGAGAGAGGGTGACGGTCCCGATACTCAGATGCCAGCCGGTGCCGACGACGATATATCAATACTGATTTTATGTAAACCAAAGTAGTCTTATATTCTTTTGCTAGCGCTGTGAAATCTGGCGTAGAAAAGGTCTCTACTACCAGGTGTGTATCCACCTGTATGACAGTGAACACAAGACAAATCCGTCAATTCTGGGTCACATCAAAAAGATTCGATGTGACCCAGAATTGATTCTATTGGCGGATGCTGGGAATGCCATTGACAGAGCGCGTGAAAAATCTTCTTCCTTTATATGTGATTTTCCCTCAGGGCGTGGACGTTCACAGCTCTCCACAGCTTTCTTTCTTTTGCTGTCCACCAAAATCAAATTCACGCGAATGGAAGTCATTGTCAAACTCACTTTGACAACAATTCAGGAGTAGGCTGGGCCTTCACAGCCATACCCGAAAGCGCCACCAGAGAGGAGAAGGGGTACAAGGAGAGTGGGTGACAGTCCCGATGCCCGGATGCGAGCGGGGGCCAACTACTATATGCATTTTTACATTGTAATGGAAGAAAACAACCTTTTCACTATTAACAAGATCAGGGCGTTTTTCTACCAAACTCTTAGGTGTGTATCGGCTCATTAGAAAATTTGATTAACATTCGAATTGAATGTTAACCATAGATGAACAGAAGAAGCGAGTATAACTTTACTGTTGCATCAACAAAGAAAGAAAGAAAGAAAGAAAGAAAGAAAGAAAGAAAGAAAAGGAACTTAGACAAACAGATATTAATACGGGGATAACAACGCATGCGCATTTCAGTACAACTGCAGGTTAATACGAGGACACTACCATCGATTTCAAAATAAACGCAAAGGCCTCCAAACTATTCAAATTGTTCAAAGGACGGATATTAGTCTCTGTTGGTTTCATTATGTTCGCATTGTGGTACCCATGTGTATCTATTTTTATGCAACATCAATTCTATGAGCCAATCAGATCTTTAAATCAGCTAAGAATATCGCGGTAGCATGGTGGCAAATCAAATGCTCGCTCAGCGAGTGACTTAGGATCAACCAATAGTGAATATGTCGTCCGATCTTTAAAATAACTAACGCAGCTTCTATTGTGTAAAGAAATTTATGCGATGAAAAGAAACTTTAAAATAAGATTAAAGAGAAAATATTTGATGAAACTGAAGGTTACACTATTTCGATTATTATCCTCATAGTTTTCGCCATATTTATTACAACGTTTCGGCCGTTGTAAGCTCCGGCCTTCATCAGGTGACTGGAACGTTGAACTGAACCCCTTATTTCGCTCACTGGGGTAGACTGTTCTAGTTCCATGTGCCATGTTTAATAGATGTCAGTTATCTCCTGTTAATTTCCCTCTGAAAGTTCTCCACTGCCTTAACCGGGTATTGAACTCACACTCTTTGGGTCCTGTCACTGGATCTAACTAACGCCTTTATCCACTGTGTCATGTGTCCTTGGGGACATCTGTGTATGAATTTCTGGGTATAAATATGTCTTCACCAACCATTTTACCAGTTTTCATATTGCAATTTTTTCTGTTATAATTACATGTTTTTACCAGAGCTCATATTGAAATTGTTTTTGTTAGTATCGCTTTTCTCTGGCACTCCTTATTACTGGTCCCCATATTGTATTTCTATGCTTGGTCGGCTCAGAAGATTTTTGTGGACTAGCATATAGACAGATACTCAAGGGTTATACCCGTTCAGATCGTTTCCATGTACTCACTGTTTGAATTATTACTTCAAACGTTACTATAGAGGACGCTTCTTATTTGAAATAGACGCCCTATTTCTATTCATTCATTAAACAGTGCGTAATACGTCTGTCGTCTAGTGTATTCGAGAATGACTCCTCTGTATAACCTGAAGTTTCATTGTTCTTTTGAATGAGATTGCACTCCAGACCCCCTCCACTGTGTCATGTAGAAAATGCCGCCGGTGGTATATCCTTATCGTGCCAGTAAGGTTGGAAGCCGTTTGGACAATTCAGGTTAATTTATTTTTCTCATCGGAGAAGAACCATTTTCCATGTTGGGGCTTCTCAGCAATTTATTATGTTTTGTGGTGTGGAAGGAGGCGTCGAATTTGAACACGTTTACGGATTTTAAATGCTTTTTCTTGGAGATAATGCCCTATTGATCCCGAGCTGAATTCTGTGTCCGTAACGGCTTTAATGCGGTTCAATGATCGGTTGGTTTCTTACCGCACAACCTGTCAAATCCTCCTGCTCAACACCAACGAAATTTTCTTGGGTCGTCCACTTGAAATTCTCGTTCTGTATACCTCAAGGTCTTTTAAGCAATTAACAACGGCAATTTTCCTATGTCCAATCTCACCAGACCTATATATATATATATATATATATATATATATATATATATATATATATATATATAGGCACCTCCAAAAAAATCTGCGATTCTTTTTTTGGATTTTACAGATGAAAAATCTATCTTGAAGCTTTTATTTTAGTTTTAATTTTAAGCTAATAGACTGAATTTAATATTTGCAATAAGTAAAATATTTGCTGTATTTCAAAAACTAATTTAAATTGACTTGAAAATGTACATTATTTACATTATTCGGACTATTGTTCTCATGCCATATATATTACAACGTTTCAGCCGTTGTACGCTCCGGCCTTCTTCAGGTGGTTGAAATGTCGAACTTTACCATTTATTTCGCTCACTGGTGTAGACTGTTCTAGTTCCACGTGTCATGTTTAATGGATGTCAGTTATCAGTTAAGTCCTGTTAATTTCCCTCCGAAAGTTCTACACTGCTTTAACCGGGTATTGAACTTGGGTCCTGTCACTGGATCTAACCAACGTCTTTATCCACTGTGCCATGTGTACTTGAGGCACTGGAGAACTTGCAGTTAAGGGTTCAGTTTGACATTCCAACCACCTGAAAAATGCCGGAGCGTACAAATATAGCGTATAGATATAGCGACAAAGATGAGGACAATAGTCCGAATAATGTAAATAGTGTACAAAATACCTCATCTCAGAAATATAGACAGATACTGAAGGGCCGAAACGTTGTAATAAATATGGCGACAAAGATGAGGACAATAATCAGAATAATGTAAATAATGTACATAATACCTAATCTCAGAAATATAGAGAGAGACTTGAAAATGTTTTATTTATTTCTTGCTAAAATAGCTGATTAGCGCCATTTTGAGCCGTCTTTCATCGCAACGTTAAGCATTTTATTAAAAATTCGTTCAAAAATGAAATATATATTTCTGAAACTTTATTTGAGGAATATTACCTGATTTAAAGTAAAACTAAAGTTATTTGAGAAAAATATCATTACTTTAAGTTTCAAGTATCGTAGAAATGCATTTTTAAAACTGTTGTGACGTGTTTGACATCGTGATGAATATTTTGTTGTTGTTCTACACAGACTTTATCTGTAAAACATATTTGAGGATAATGACATGAGCACCTTTTAGATTTAATTTTATTCAGTAATCTAAAATTTAGGAAAATATTCTCCATAATCTAATGTTTATAGAATTTTACAAACTCCGGTTTTCAATTGACTATAGTCATCGGTCTTATTTTCTGATAATGTTATATATAATCGGCCGTATTACAAAATAAAACGGCACGCTTATAAATTAATAAAAATATTCAAAATTAATTTAAAATTTGGTGTTTGATGATTTGTACTAAGATTGTCCATATTAGGCTAACAAGAGAAACTTAATTCATACCTGTAAAATTTAGATAGACCTTAGGTTTCACATCAAATTTTGGCAATGAAAGATCTCATATTAGAAGACAGTGTCTTTCTCTTGAGCAGTCAGTCTTGAATTTATATCATGAATATCAATAATGAAAACAAAATTGGTCAGAGCCATTAAAAAATGAATGAATAGTGGGAAAGTAGGAGGAGAAAATGAAGGAAAAGTAAAAGAAGAGATAAAAAGAACAAAAAAGGAGTAAATATACTTTTCACTTAATATCACCAAAAAGGCTGAGTTTTATACAGAATTTAAAAAGATGTGAAAATTAATAATTTTTTCTAATTAAAATGAAAAAAAACATTCTTCTAATTTCAATTCTTTGACCCACCACTGACGCAAGAAAAGCAAGATATTTAACCAATATTTTGAATGTGCTAGAAACAATTAATAATATTCATAAAATAATTAAAATAAAACATACCTTGTTCTTTCATCTTAATAATAAGAATCATTTTGGCAAAAACCTCTTTTTTATCAGGTTTAATGAAAAAGATCATTCTTTATTAGAAGATTTTTGAAAGTATTTATTTATTATTCAGAGCAAGATTGTCCTTTGAATAATAAATGTCGTATAAAATTTTATCAAATGCAATATCTCATTTATTGAGAATCTTAATGATGTCAGAGTCTATGTAGGATATACAAAGAATGGATTTAAATTAAGATGGAACCAACACCAAAGTTCCTTCAATAATACTAAATATCGAAACCAGACATCCTCATCTAAATATATATTAAAAGAGACCAATAAAACACCAACAGTAAAATGGAAATTCATAAAAAAAATCCAAAAAACAAGAACTTGTAGATCTTTAAATCTTTTAATTTCTACTTGGAAAAAGGAAGTTTGTATCAATAGATAGATAAACCCAGCAACGACCACCCCCACCTAGACATGACCGACGATAGCTACAGTATGTTAGATACATGAGTTTTCTACTTAAGTTTAATCTTAACACCCCTTAAAAAAAACAAAAAAAGATGGAATTTTCCTTAGGTATATTTCAAAATATAAAATTTGTCTGGACTTATAAATTAAGTGAACTTATTAGGGTTGAACAGAGGCAACCCGCCCTGATATTAGGCTAGTTTTATTTTTATTTTTTTAGCTTGAATCTTTAGTTTCACATTTCTGGTTAACTTAGCTAGGGTATGCATGCTCATTGGCCCCTTTTATTTCTGTCCCTATTTTTCTTTTGTTTAATTCCCCATCCCCTCCCTCGTTAGGTGGTCAGTGATGTCAGTTCTCTGGTTGTTGCGGGATGACTTTCGTTTCGTGTGTGTGTTTTCGTATTTGTTATTGTGTCTAAATGAGTGCGTGTTTGTGGGTGTGCTTGGCTTTTTATAATGTTATAATCCCGCAATTATTTCGTTCAGTTAACTAATGTTTCTGCCACATTTAGGGATTGTGGTTTTTTTTATTACTAACCCTATTTTGTTTTATTTTTTGTAAATAGTATTAAATCATATTGTAAATAATCATTGGGTTTTTTTAAATTGTTGTTATTTCTCCTCCCCCAACACACTTTGAAATGTACATATGGAGACTAGTTAGGATTTCATAGAGAATTTGAGGTATTATGGTGGACGCAGTAAGAAAGGTAGGAGTGAATGTGTTGTTTTGGTGATAGGAATATTGTTAGTATGTTTGGGTCCGTGTCTGTGACTAGCTAAGTTTAGAATTAAGACAGAAGAAGACCGTCCTTCCCCAACCCCCTTTTTTTGGCCTTGTGCCACATTTTGTACAAACGTACGAATAAATAACTATAAATTAAGTGAAACAATTTCTAAAAAATTATTCTTAGCATCGCTTGATAATGGAACGGAACTTTGTATTTTAAGTTTAATTTGTATGATTGAATTTAAATTGAAGTTTAAGTTTTGAAACATGGAAATTGCGGTGTTGCGCTGATTATATATTTTTAAAAGACAATTATAACATTATGCTCTATGGTTGTATCGGTCACTGCTTTTTTAAAAAAAAAATAAATGCTAAGAACTCTGAATTATAAATCTCATTG